AATCCAACCGCGCAAGCAAATACAGGCAGGCAAGTGTTGATACGACGGAAGAAAGCGCAGGTAAGGACACGAGCCGAAGCGATGACTCGTCATTTTGACACATGCGGGCGAAAACAAAGTAGCAGAAAAGAGTTAACCATGCCCTTGGACATCTGTCTACATAAATCATAGTCATGTCACCCAACGCGATCGTAAGTATGGAATAGCTTCTCAATCGCACCGAGAAAGTTTTGAAGTCAAAACCTCGAACCAACAGCTTCGGCTCGAACGTGGATTGGCTGATATAACACCAATTTCACTGATCTCGAAAAGAAGAATTCAGCAGAGAACGAACTTTCCTCAAAATGGATTACAGCTTTACTACTTGAGTCGGAGTGGCTACTCAGGTATGACATATGGTCAAAAAACTGTAATTTGTGTAGGCGGAATTCGGTGTAGATGGAAACCTGCAAACTTTTATCCCCACAGAAACTAATGACAGTATGCTTGCAGAGAATATGGTGAGGCCTCTATCGAGCATGAGAATGAGGCGGGAAGCCTACATACATTTCTAAGAGGATGTTGAATAACTAGTCGTTCATATTACCCGCCGAAAAATGATGCTTAAATTCTCCACAGAATTCACATGCGACTCGCAGACAGATGGTTTACCGGACACAGCCCTTGGCAAGAACCAGCGCAGGGACTCTCGTAAAATGGTGGGGGGCGCTCACCGATCGTTCTAACGGAACTCACTCTTCCCGTTGTGTCTTACGGGCTCTCTCTCGGGCCCAACCAGCAGCCGCACAGCGCCTCATGATATAGGCAGTATGTTATTACCGACAAAGGCAAGGGAGATCGGAATGGTCATTTCTGGCTTGTTAGCCGCCGTCAGCCAGTCATACCCAACCCCGAAGTGTGGAACACCCGAGGCTCGAACTGGCGACCTGTTAGTTAGAAGTCTACGCCTCTAACCACTGGGCTACGAGCCCGTTGCCCTGTCGGTTTCGATCGGGAATTTACAATGCTGGGGGCGCTCACCGATCGTTCTAAATGATCTCACTCGTCGCGAGTTCGAGCCTCGGGTGTCTCACACTTCGAGGTTGGGTATGACTGACTGACGACGGCTAATAGGCCAGAAATGGCCATCCCAGTCTCCCTTGCCTTTGTCGGTAATAACATACTGCCTAGATCATGCGCCGCTGTGCGGCTGCTTGTTGGGCTCGAGAGAGAGCCCGTAAGGCACAACGGAACGAGTGAGTTCCGTTGGAACGATCAGTGAGCGCCCCCTGCCATTGTACAGTACGTGACCTATCTAATGAAATTTGATAACGGAAACTGATGAGAGAATTTCTGGACGCCTTTAACGTGGCGTATTTTGTTCGCTCACCCACATCCTTCAATGAAATGTCCTTTTCTTGTTCCGAAATTGTGTTTACGTAATTATATGAAGTAAAATATCAGTAAATTTTAGAGAAAATAGACGTTGGAATATATTCGCTCAATTTCCTATGCTAATACATGTCCTAGACTCCAGTTACGCATCTAAGCGACTTTTTCATTGAAAGGATAGTAATTTACCCTTGAGAGTTTTAATAAACAGATTTAGCTTGACTAGAAATTTTATTTCATGTCCGATGTTGACCATGGTTATCAACCTGCTAACAAGAAGTTTATTTTAACAAAACCAGGGGCTTTATCAATTCCTTTATGTCAAATTAGTAGAGCTGTGCGATTTGGTGCCCTAAAGTGCAATAATAACGCGGATAGAGATTCCTCCGTTTAAGTGGGCTGAAATGTTTTTGCCGTTTAGAAAATTCTACCTGATGTCGCATAGATGACCACCACGGAATGGTCATTTCCAGCTTTAAACATATGACACACTACTTTTCTACTATTTTAGCTTCTGCGCATACTTTTTTCAGAAATAGAACGAGCAAAACATTTTTAGTTTCATCAAAATATCAGTATTTATATGGGCGCTCTGCCGTGCATTCATAATCGAAGAACGGAGTGTAAAAGCGAGCAGAAACAGTGAAAATGGCCTCAATGTATAAAGGCATGTTGCGTTTACGGTTGAAAAATATTAGTATTGCCTAGGAACGTGAAAGAAACCGTCAAGAGTCAAATTTTTACTTGACCTCGCCGTGCAAAAATGCAAAGTACACAGAGATCCGTCGACGGAGTGCAGTAATAAAGCACTTCCTAAAGAGGTAACTTATTAAGGAAAGTTTTCTTATTGATCCAAGGCATATTCGTTGGTGAATTTCGTTGTGGACAGTCATTTTTCTCGAAAATGAAGTTTGATGTTTGAATGAGTCTTCAAATGTGACCAAAACGACTATCTTCGTGAAAAGGAGCGCCTGAACAATCACTAATTCGGTAAGTGCCTTCAAGAACAATCATATTTTAAAATTCTGAACAGACAGGTAATTCAGAATATGTCTTTATGGGTGACCGGGTGAAAACACTGAAAATCATGAAGTATTCAGCAATATTTCGAGGCCGAGCTGAAATTCAACGCAGTCCAAAACGAAGGAAAAGTGTAAATTAATTTAACGGAAGAAAAGTTCTCTCTATAAACACAAAATGGCATGTTTGAGATCACGCCTGTCAGTTCTATTTAAATTTATTAGGCACCGACCGGCCTCATGGCATGTCACCTTATGAAAACTTTTGATCCTACGACGTCCCCATCGGCGAAATCAAGCAACATCCAGCTTCTCTTGTTGAACCCCATCTCCTTTAACTCCAAATAATCAAGGAAATTATGAAACACTAGAAAACTGTTTTGGAATCTACACCCTGAATGTAGGCAGATGACAAACCGTCATATATGAAGTCACACTACTTATTAAACGATATTTATACGAAAACTTCACTAAAACACTGTCATTAGACGTTATTTTATGTCTAATTTCATATTTACTACGTGTTTGGTATGAGAATACATTCTATACATCTAAAAACGAACTTTACTTATCTAGAGCCATTTCTGACGTTTTCGGGATATTCCGCTTTTCAAAATAAATCGACATTTCTAAACAACGCAACACTGCCTATAGTATTTTTTTAAACTTGTACTTTTTAAACTTGTACTTTTAAACTTGTACTGAATTAACATGGACATTTGACTCATGAAATGTCGGTTTGCAAGTGATTGGCATTCGTAAATTTCGACACATTTCATGAGTTAGGTCACTAACTGTATATTCCCGATCGAAACCGACAGGGCAACGGGCTCGTGCCCCAGTGGTTAGAGGCGTAGGCTTTTAACTAACAGGTCACGAGTTCGAGCCTCAGGTGTTCCACATTTCGGGGTTGGGTATGACTGCTGACGACGGCTAATAAGCCAGAAATGGCCAGTCCAATCTTCCTGGTCTTTGTCGGAATAACATATTCTAGTAAAACTCACGGGTAAAAACGAACGTTAAAGGGACTGGGGATACCGACCAGCGAGTAGTAATGACTCATGAGTAGACAGGCACATTAATAACTGGCCCCACAAATACAAAATTTTGACGTGTACAATGGCGATATCGCGGTAATAACATCTCTGACTCTCATGGATATACCTCCCCGATCACTTGCCTTTAGCAAACCGAGAACGTGAACGGTGACAGTAAGCCTCCTTCGTCGATCGGTTGAGTACGTTTTCCTGTCTGCTCTAGAGAAATAATTTCTTCAGTCACGTTCTATTATACTCTGTAAAATAACGGGCCTTTTAAAGGGTCAAGCATTCGATCTCTTCTAGTCATTTCTGGACGGCTGCCCCGAAAAGTTATGACCTCCAAGTTAGTTGGCCGACAACTAAGCTCATTTCCCGACTGCTTACTCTAGTTCTGACTTCGCCGGTTCTTATACACGCTGCCGCATTCCGATTGGAATGGCGAGTGGTCACATGCAACACGAGAGGGCGCGAAGGGTGGCCGGGATTGCTCGTTTATGAGATATGAACCTTGGATCGCCTACTATGTCCATCAGAGAGCCGATGAACGGGCCGAATGATTCCATTGCAATAGTATGGCACTTTTGTTAATATAGACCCTTAGGTTTATCAACATCACAACCAGATAAGAATGCCAGAATGACTCATGTGGGCCCAGCGTGGCATCCACCGTAGTTTAACACAGACTGAAGGGATTAAGTGGTTCCAAGGACAGAGTAAAGCAAAACAAGAGAAACGATGTGGGCTTTCTATAGACTTCGACAAAACATAATCGGAGGCACTTTCGACTACCTCATCCAGATGATCGACCCCCTATAACTACGAGGCCGGATGGAACCCGCCATACACGACTCCATATAAGCACTTGACTGCCTTCTCTTCCGAGAGTAACAAGGACTCGGGTCCTTTAAAGTTTGCGGTCAAGAAGCGGTTATTTAAGTACCCATGCAATCGGTTTAACATACGGCTGCGGAGGACACGTGAGGAATAAGTAGTAGGCAAAAATGTTTTGTCCCCTGGTCAATAGGCGTAGAGGTAACGGTAATTTCCTGATATAAGAGGCTTGAGAACATAAACGCTGGAAGAAGACACGATGTAAGGTGGCTAGAAAGACGGTGAAGGGGACGATGGGCGGAAATGAGGATTTAGCACAATAATGGGCAGGTCAGCGCGGCCAGCTTATTGACTGTTCTGCCGAACCAGATAGTGACGGAATAGGGATGGCGAAGAAGGGGAAGTATCCAGTGTTTGTGGCCAAATTTGAAAAAGTGAATGAGCGGCGAGAGTGAGTCCACGATTGACACGCTGCGCCCATGTGACAAACAAAAAGCGGCGGCGAAGGAATGGGGTCCAAGGAACGAAGTTAATCTAACAAAAAGACAGACAGTGATATCATCTGGAGTGGCCGAGGAATGCACAACGACGTTTCAGCAACTTACCGTTGTGTTGAAAGACAGACACCCTTATGTGATGGATTAGATTGATGGGAAGGATCCGAGAACGTGCAGCATTCAAATGTACAAGAATGCAGGGGAGGGAGAGTTGCCACCGGAGAGAGGGTAGGCGGCAGGGATTATAAAACTGCGAGAAGGACTATAATTATGAGGAGGGTTAAGAAGAGGACGCTAATGGCCCACCACTGGCTACGATCACTGTCCAGATGAAGTAAACGTGCGGCACGCATCATCGCGTTGTCGAGTTTAGACTCCGTCTGTGCCATCTCTTCGCCAAACGTGTCCAGCAGGGCTACCTGATCACCCAGCTCACCACCCATACGGTGAGAGATGTCCTTCAGGCGGGAGATGCTGTTGCCTAGTTGGTCCAGGTGGGCATCTTGTTCCTGAAGCAGCAGTCGCTGGTCGGAAAGAAGACTGTCTGCAGATGTGCTGGGATTACTACGCGCCTTGTGCTGTTCTGTCAGGCCCAGCGAACGAGCGGTGCCGCTATATGATTGGAAAACTAGTTTGTCTTAACAACATATAGCAAACAGGAAAGTTTGGGAAGGTAAAAAGTGACAAACACTTGAACCAGTTCTCCAACGGACGAAGACCCTCAACACCGAAGGAGAATTTGAAAAAACCAGGTATTCAAAAGAAAATAGTACCTAAGTCTCCCATAAACCGACTACGTGGTTATACTAGGTTGAATCGAAAGCTCACAGTCAGTTTTCCAAAAAATTATGAGGCATGAACTACGACAGACCTCATCAATGACTAAATTAAAGAGGAACGTGCTATCCCACGAAATGCTAACGAAGTCGTGGAATCTGTCCCTGATTCGAAAAGGTTACTTAAGTAGGCTTTAAATATTAGCTATCTTGCAGCACAATCTCAAAATACATCGGTCACACCAGAATTCCACCTTTTGAATGAGCTTCTTTCCGAAAATTTGCAAAAGCTACACTCAAAAAATGACTATTTCAGTAGTTCGAAAGTCCCCATTGATTTTTGACGTCCTTAAAAATTCAAATGTATTTTACAAAAAACATGCGCAAAAATATTCTTGTGATCATTTGGTGGTAAATTACGCCATCTTTAAACCCCGTGTTTAAGGAAGAGTTATTTTTCGATTAAAAAAAACTTTTTCTGATTACGAGACTTTTTGAGACCGCGAAATGTTCATTCATAAAGCATCGCACCTGTCCATTTATTAAGGCTGCCTTTAAAGTATACGTGGTACACATCTACTGAAGGTTTTTATGAGCCTTAATTTTGTGGTTTTCTTGATAGAATGCAGGTGTTACAGCAGGTCAAATTCAGAATTATTCGGAAATTGGAGTCTTTTAAAACCGAGAGATGCATGAGACAGAACGAGTCAAAAGAAATGGAATCAAGTACTTCCAATCAGGCACCGAAACGAAACACTTGGCGAACTCTCCCTTACAGTAAAAACGTGTCGGAACTCCTTGCAAGGCACCTAAGGAAGCACCAAATCCTAGTAGCACACAGATCAACGACTACCTTACGCACTGAGATAGCACAACCTAAGGATAGGGTCAGCTATTTGGATAAAAAGGAAGTCGTCTACAAGATCCCGTGTGAGGCCCGTGATGCGCTTTCTTGTGGTCAAAGAGGCACATCAAGTTGGACGCCACGTACAAAAGTCTCAAAGATAAGTGGAAGAGACGAGAGCCAATCACAACAGAATGAAGCAGATAGCGGTCGCTCACAGGCTCGAGCGCCGAACAATCATCGATTTTCAAGTGCACTGCCAGATGTTAACCGTTGTCGGCACATTTGCTCTTTGTCTGCGTCTGACGGCGACCTGGGGAACAAGCGTCGAAAATTCACGCAATAAAACTCCTTTTCCCAAAGAACACCCTTGACTTCAATATATCACTCATGTTGATATATATATACATATATTTCGAAGTCGAATGTGTGCTTTGGGAAAGGAAGTTTATTATGCAAATTTTCGACGCCGGTTCCCCGAGTCGTCGTCAGGCACAGACGGAAAACAAATGCGCCAACACGGCTAACATCTTAAGTGCACGTAAAAAATCGATCATCGTTTGACGCTCACGCCAGTAAGCGGCCGTCGTGTGTCAGTCCGTTCTGATTGGTCCTCGCCTCTTCCATCTCTCCTTCAGATTTCTGTACGCGGCATCTAACTCGATGTGCCGGTTGATGCATGATTCGTCTGAGTGCATGGCCTCAAGGAACTCTTGGCCTTTCTCTGAGGGGCACACAGCGACAATGCGAGTTTTCTCCCAAGCGAAAGTGTGACCGGTGTCCAGGGTGTGCATGGCCACTTGAGACAGATGGTCTCGCCTCCTCACTGCCAACTGGTGTTCGTGGATGCGTGTAGAGGCGCATTTTCCAGTCTGGCCACAACAGACGGCATCACACGCTTCACAAGGTATCTTGTAAACGACTTCTTTTTTGTCCAGATAGTTAACCCTATCTTTAGGGTGCACAAGCTGAGTGCGCAAAGTAGTCGTCGGTCGGTGCGCCACCTGAATTTGGTGCTTCCTTAAGTGTCTTTCAACAAGTTCGGACACATTTTAATGTGTGACATTTTAGGGTCAGAACCGAAATTTCAATGAACATTTGAGTCGAATGCAATCAACTACCGTGGAATAACCACGAGTAGTATGAATTCCATATGGTAAAGGTATTATACCGTACTCCCGACCTAGATACTTGCTAAAAGCAGAGACACGTGTATCGCCGATATTCTGCGGCTGCGTGACACAGCTGCGAGGTGTTCGGCTCTTCAGTGGGACCCCCAGCGTTCTCTAGCGGTTTCTGGTAAATGAACTCCAGAGAATAATCAGGTGAATAATTTCAGAAATTAATCAGTGCAGGACATGGAGTTAAATCTCCGGGACATGACTTTTTAGGGTCAGAACCGAAATTTCATGTCCCGGAGATTTAACTCCAAGTCCTGCACTGATTAATTTCTGAAATTATTCACCTGATTATTCTCTGGAGTTCATATACCAGAAACCGCTAGAGAAGGCTGGGGGTCCCACTGAAGAGCCGAACACCTCGCAGCTGTGTCACGCGGAGGCAGAATATCGGCGAAACACGTGTCTGGGCTTTTAGCAAGTATCTATCTAGGTAGTACAGTATAATACCTTTACCATATATATATATATATATATATATATATATATAGCAGCGAGGAGGGACGACAGAGAATGCGGGTAGATTGATACAGCACTGTTTC